ATGCACACACACACACACACACATATATATATATATGTGTGTGTGTGTGTATATATATCAATAAAAAACACACACACACACATATATATATATATATATTATAGTAGACCACTGAAATATTTACCTAAATATATATATATACATAATTATATATGTATATATGCACACACACACGCATATATATATATATATATATATATATATATATATATATATATATATTATAGTAGACCATAGAAATATCTACCTGTCTATACATCCGAGATGAGATATTATGATTACTTACAATATTCGGTCTGTGAATGAGGCCCAACTGAAAGGGGTGTAATATGATGATGATGATCGTACTCATCTTGAAATTATAGATAGATAGATAATAGATAGATAGATAGATAGATCAATTATATATATATATATATATATATATATATATATATATATATATATATATATATATATAAGAATTGAATAGACGCTCACAGAAACCGTTTATTTTATTAAACAAGTAATTTATACAAATGAAGTAATTATTAATGGTCATAAATTTAATAACTAATACTTGGTTGACATCCCTTTTGCTTTTTTTAATACAAGGACCCTTCCAGGCATGCTAGCGATGAGTTCACGAATATCATCTTGAGGGATTTCTTGCCAGGTTTGACGCAATAATCCTAAAAGTTCGGGCTTAGAAGATGGCTTCCTGTATTTTTTTTGCGGAGTTTTCGATCTAATATGCCCCAAAGGTGTTCAATGGGGTTAATATCCGGGGACTGACTTGGCCATGGAAGTTTATTGATCACTTTTTGTTTCAACCAATGTTGCGTCGTGACATGGAGCTCCATCTTCCATAAATAGGGAGTCAATTTTGCTCATTCTACTACTTGAGAATATTGGAAGGAGCCCTTCTTTATTTAATATAGAAATATATTTCGTTGAAATAATGTTTCCTTCACACTCCACAAGCTCTGAGTGACCATCACTCCAAATTGCACCCCATACTATTACTGACAGGCCCCCATGTTTCACCGTTGGCTGCAGTCTTTTTAAATCAAACTGTTGACTACAGAACCTCCATACCCACACTCTTTCACTCGGAAAATAATTCGAATCTTGACTCATCAGAGAAAATGACAGTGGTCCAAAATGTTACAGGTCTCTCCACCATCTCATGAGCCCAATTCTTTCTGTGTTTGATATTGGCTGAATGGAGAAGTGGTTTCCTTCTCGCAGCTCTGCCATAGTAGCCCAGCTTGTGAAGATACCTGACAGCTGTTCTGGGACTGACATCAACTTGTGTTGCTATGTCAAAGGCCTTGCAACGTGGATCCTGTTCAACATTTCTTTCGACAAGACGCATGGTTCTTTCAGAGGGACCAGGGTGGCCTGGATGAGATTTTGTGCACTTCTTGTCCTCTCTGATGAATTGTACGATCACTCTATTAACAGTAGAAAGGGGTATTGAAAGATTTTCAACCTTCATGTTGGCCCACGATACGTCCTCGCTGAAATTCGGAGGGGGTCTGATGCTCCTTTGGTTCGTGGCATGTTCCAGTATTGCTATCTGAAATTTTAATCAAATAATCTAAGTTAATTTATCTTGGTTATTAAAAAAAATCAGAAATAAAATTTATCTTGGTGTCTATTCAATTATGTCATGTCTGTGTATATATAATTTTGTGGGATGGATAATTATGCTGTTAGACGATTTGGACAATTTTGCTGCTACACTAGGTATATATATATATATAGACAACTTTTCTGTTTATATATATATATATATATATATATATATATATATATATATATATATATATATATATATATATATATATATATATGGTTTAACAGCAAAAATTGTCCAAAATGGTCTAACAGCATAATTATCCATCCCACAAACCTTTTTAATATCTAAGAACAGTAAACTAATTGAGTTTCTTTTTTCCAGGTTTTCAGATGAGATATTTAGCCATCTTGACACCATTTTTCGTAAGAATCATTGAAAACTCTTTCAGTTATTCAGCTCGCAAAAGAACAGGTTAAACATTCATACTCTGGCTTCCATCTTGAAGGTCCTTTCAAGAAGCATCAAGAGAAAGGTGAATAAGCTTAAGAAAGAGGAAACATTAGAGAGAAAAGCAAGAGCGACCATCATTTCAACGTAAAGCTAAATAGATCAATTGGAAAAGATCCAACTTAATCTATATGACGGTTGGCACGTGAGAGAGGAGTTTCAGCTATGACAGTCTAAAGAGCAGTGAAAAAAAAGACTTAAAAATGAAATCGTACGTAAAATCTGTGAGGCGTCTTTTTACTCCAAGACAGAAAGTTAGAAGGTTAGAGAGATCATCTTGAATAAATTGGGAGATGTACCTGGTATAATATATATATATATATATTTGAACTTTATTTCAATCCTTCATGAGCTTCCGATCCGATTAATTAATAATGAACATCTCATTTTCGTTTATTTCATCACGAATCTTCTGTTAAGTTTAAAGAGTAATTAGACATTCTTATTGCTCAAAGTAGAGTTCAATAGCATTACAAAAACCTTAGAGAATTCCCTTAAGATACATTTCTAAGATACGACGGTTCAAAGATTGTGGACAATTATAAATTTTACACCCTTTTATATATATATATATATATATATATATATATATATATATATATATATATATATATATATTCATTGAAGAATACATCCCTACCCCTAGCAAAACTGATACATCAAAATACAGACATAATGGATACGCAAACACCCCTCTACTGGTTGAAATGAATTTCTCTGTTTCCTTGGAAACGTGAATTTTGATTTTTGCTGACTTTAAAACCCGTAATTTTAAAAGTTACTCCAAAATTCGCTTGAGGATGAAATGGAACTAATGTCTTTAATTTAATTACAAAATTAAATTTGGACCTTCCATTTTGAAACATGGTTAGAACTGTGTAGCGGAAAAAACCATATTTTAAATCAATTAATTTATTTATATATATATATATATATATATATATATATATATATATATATATATACGAGGGTCATTCAATAAATAAGGTGAATTTTTTTCGGTATAAGGACTTCTAATAGAGATAGAAGAAGCTTTTTTTTTTTTTTTTTTTTTTGGTTTACTTCTTTTTTCACATGGATTTAATTTCTTTTGCAGATTAAAAAAAAAAACTTTGAGAGTTTTTGGCGATTAACAAAGATGGCCGACCAAGAAGCATCCTCCAGGATTGAACAGCGGTCAGTTATCAAAAAATTTTTGGTTGCTGAAGGGTGCAAACCAGTTGAAATTCATAGGAGAATGTCAACTGTGTATGGTGCCACATGTTTCATAAAAAAAATGTCTACAAGTGGGCTAAATTGTTTAAAGAAGGACGGAGCAGTGTTGAGGATGAAGACAGGCCTGGGAGGCCTATGAAGTGAGGTCTCTTGAGGTGATCGAATCAGTCAATGACCTCATTTAGTCTGACAGAAGGGTGAGAGTGGATGACATTGCAAGGACAAGAAAGCTTATCTGTTGGGAACAAACAAAATTGTCATCATTTAAATTTTTTGGCTACTCGAAGGTCAGCTGCCGATGGGTGCCAAAGATGTCAACGGTGCAGAACACAAACTGAGGAGAGTCGAATTGTCCCAGCAGTGTCTCTCCAGCTATGAGAAGAATGCCCCTTCAGACTTTCACCTGTTTGGTCCCTTGAAAACGTTCACGAGAGGCACGAAGTTTAAAAGTCACGGTGAAGTCAAAAGTGTTGTGAGCGACTGGCTGAGACATCAGTCCAAAGATTTTTACGCTGAAAAAAATAAAAAGCTTGTGCACAGACGGGAAAATTTGTGACAGTGCTGGGAGACTATGTTGAAAAATTAAAAAAAAAGTAAGCTCCTATCTTTATTAGAAGTCCTTATTCCAAAAAATCACCTTATTTATTGAATGATCCGCGTATATAATTATGCATTTTGACAGCAATCCGTCTATTATATAACATAAAAAAACGACTGAAAGTTCTCCACTGCCTTAACCAGGTATTGACTCTAACTAAAAACTTTATCCACTAAAATTAACGCACCCTGAGGGAAATTAACAGGAGATAACTGATACCTGACATCCATTAAACATGGCACGTGGAACTAGAAGAGTCTACCCCAGTGTGAGAAATAAAGGGTTCAGTTCGACATTCCAACCACCTAAAGAAGGTCGGAGCGTACAACGGCCGAAACGTTGCAATAAATATGGCAACAAAAATGAGGAAAATAGTCCGAAAAATGTAAATAATGTACATAATACCTCATCTAAGAAATATAGACAGATACTGAAGATCCGAAACGTTGTAATAAATATGGCGACAAAAATAAGGACAATAGTCCGAATAATGTAAGTAGTGTACATAATACCTCATCTCAGAAATATAGATAGATACTGAAGATCCGAGGCGTTGTAATAAATATGGCGACAAAGATGTGGAAAATAATCCGAATAATGTAAATAATGTACATAATACCTCATCACAGATATATAGACTGATACTGAAAGGCTGAAACGTTGTCATAAATAAGATAGATTTGTATATGTGTACAAATATTATAAAAACAAGACCTAAAAACTAATTCTATCACTAACAAAATCTGCAGTTGAAACTGCATATCTGTGAATGCGACCTAAACTCTCTAAATACTCGGGCACAGGCGTTACCTCACCTCCCTCTTGACTTCTTTACATCCATACACCCGGCATTTGAGCTCCACCTCCCACTGCTCCCGAGTCGCCCTTTGAGCGTTTGTATAAGTAATGAAGATGTTTCGTTTGCAAAGAAGCCGTTTATGATTATAATTTGATCTGAGTAGAAATTAAAAAACAAATCAATTTCAATTTCATAAATTTAATTAAGCCGGTGTCAGGCTTCACGTAATTGATTAATGAAAAAATTAATTACGAAAGGAAATTAATTATAGAGCCAATTTGGAAATTTAATGAGATAGTTTATTGGGCCTTTGAATATTATGATATTAAGCTCAACAGCGACGCTGAGAGGGAGATGAGAAGAGGGAAAGGAAGAGGAATATGAAGAGAGAAAGGGAGAGGAATATGAAGAGAGAAAGGGAGTGGAATATGAAACGACAAAGGGAGAGGATTATGAAGAGAGAAAGGGAGAGGAATATGAAGAGAAAAAGGTCGAGGAATTATGAAAAGACAAAGGGAGAGGAATATGAAGAGAGAAAGAGAGAGGTATATGAAGAGAGAAGGGTAGATGAAGATGATGAGAGAAAGGGAGAGGAATATGAAGAGAAAGCTAGATGAATGTGAAGAGAGAAAGGGAGAGGAATGTGAAGAGAGAAAGGGAGAGGAATATGATGAGAGAAAAGGAGAGGAATATGAAAACCAAAAAGGGAGAGGAAATATGAGGAGAGAAAGAAGAGGAATTTGAAGAGAGAAAGGAGAAAAATGAAGAGAAAAAAGAGGAGCGGCAAAAAGCAAGAATGATTGAAAATTTAACGAAACATAGAGACAGACAGACAGACAGGCAGAGAAAAACAGACCAATACAATCTGATAGATACAGAGATAACGCAACGACAGATAGATAGATAGATAGATAGATAGATAGATAGATATAGATAGATAGATAAACTGGGCAATACAAATTAACAGAAAACGAAGGCGCACATCCTAACCTCTGATATATATATATATATATATATATATATATATATATATATATATATATCTGACTTAAGAAAGTCGAAAGCATGGAACATATTTTATGTACTTTTCTTCTAAAATGAACTTCGGACAATTTTGGAATTTTCTATTTGCCTGAGAAAGATTAATCATAATTTGCGAAAGTTGATCAGTAAAATTAATTGACACAAACTGTCCCTTTTCTTTAATAATATTTGCCTTGAAAAAAATAAACAAATATTTAGATAGATAGATAGATAGATAGATAGATAGATAGATAGATATGAGTGGACATTGATGTCAACACCCAGAGGCGACAGTCTGTTTCATGCCCAAATGAAGTTGATTTCGTTTAAACGTGCGACAGACTGTCGCCTTGGGTGTTGACTTCAACGTCCACATTTATAATTTGCATGCGCTCTATCCCTGATATTGTACACTTTAACCAATATATATATATATATATATATATATGTGTGTGTGTGTGTGTGTGTGAATGTAACTGAGATATTGATACAAATTATTAACACCTTACGCCCCTTTTTCTTTAAACAATTGCTGTAGCCGTTACGATAGAAATTTTAATTTCAATAATGAATATGCTTATGAATCACGTAAATTTCAGAAATAAGTTATTCCCAAAAAAATTTCGCTTGAAGATGGAACAGAGCTTAGCACTTTAATTCAATTTAATTCAAATAATTATATTGAAGTTTTCGGCTCTTGTTTTGAAACATGAGAACTCTTATGTAGTGTGTTGGAATCATATTTTTAAATAAATAATTATATTTAGGCTCTACTTTTGTATGGAGCACTATTTTTTTTAAAATAATAACAAATATACTAAAGAACTTTGGATTATTTGCCTAACGAATTCTTTCCTATTTTCTATATATTTTCACATATATATATATATATATATATATATATATATATATATATATATATATATATAATATATATCAGACAGACAAATATTCCATGGTTATGTTATGGAATATTTGTTTTTGAGCGCTTTATATTATATTCTTTCTCTATCCTGGACATTGAGCTCTACCTGGATTCTATCCTCTTGGAAATTTATATTTATTGATCAATGAAACGCTAACATGTACACATAGATTATTTGATTGTAATTGTGAAGAACTCAGTAGAACCAAACATAGTTTTCAGAAAACCTGAGAACAAAGAAAAAAAGTGCATCTTTGTTCCAAGAAACTCGTCGGACTGACCGCTTTTTTTATTCACTGTTTCCTTTCTCGTAGACTCGCTACCATCCAAGGAGAGAACACCTTGCCTGATCTGTTTTTTAACCCATAGATGGAGGAAACTTTTCCTTGTTAGCATTATTACAGACTCGGGTAGAAATTGAATTAAGTTCGTCTATTCAATTTTTTTCGCATTTAACAATTCACACATATATATATATATATATATATATATATATATATATATATATATATAGATATATATATAGATAGATAGATAGATAATATAGATTTAATATCAGTGGTAAATATACACATACATATGCAAAATATATAAATATATATACATAGGTGCATACACATACATATATATTTTTTAATAAAAATTGAAGAGGATATAAATAAGGTAGAAATCCCCCCTCTTATTCTGATCTTCACCATTAGATCGTCTATGGTGTGTGTATATCACCACGAAATGTATCTTTACCTTATAATGCATTAGACATCCGACAACATTCATATTTCTCTTACTTAAACCCCTAGATATATATATCTCCTAAAATTCTCTCTGTTAAGGTTTAATCTCCTCCTTAGAAAAGTCTGTTACCCTAACTTTAGCTCTAACATTTCGTCCCATTTTTCTTATACTTACACTATCTTTAAATTCTGTTTTTATTTCCGGAGTTGTTTTTCTGTTTTCATTTTGAACTTGTAGGTCTGATGAATTGGATCGTATTTCTGATTCCAATGGAATAAATTATGACCATGGAATATTAGTGTTTAAGATTTTTATATATATATATATATATATATATATATATATATATATATATATATCAAGAGGTTATAATTATAATTATAATATATATATAGTTGCTTTGGTACTACTGCCTTTCGATATTACGACTGGGTGTCATTTTCCTTCTTCGATATAATGGCTGGATAAAATATTGTCCTTTCAATATTACAGCTTGGAGACATTTCGACCTTTCGACATTAGGACTGGGTGAAATTTTCGACATTATGGCTAGTTAAAAGTTCGTTACTTAAACATTATAGCCTATTGACATTTCGCCCATTCGACATTACGACTGGTTGACATTTCACACTTTCTATATTATGGTTGGATAAAAATTCGTCCCTTGTACAGTATAATCGATATTTCGGCCTTTTGACATTACGGCTTGGTGACATTTTGTTCTTTCGACATTACATCTGGTTGATATTTTGCACGTTGGATATTATGGCTGGATAAAAGTTCGTGTTTTGAACATTATAAACAATCGACAATTTTTCCTTTCGACATTACGGTTTGATGACAATTTACCCTGTCGATATTATGGCTGGATAAATGTTCGTCCCTTGAACATTATAGCCTATAGATAGTTCATCCTTTCGATAATACGTCTGGTTGACATTTTGCACTTTTGATATTATGCCTGAATAAAGGTCCGTCCTTTGAAGATGACAAACTCTCGATATTTCCTTCTTTTCGAGATTATGACTGGTTGACATTTTTCAATTTCCATATTATGTCGGTATAAAAGGTTCGTTTTCTGAACAATGTATCCTATGGATATTTTGTGCCTCGATAATATATTTCATTGATATTTTGTCTTTTCGACATTTTACTTGGTTGATATTCTTTTTATTATACTATTATTAACGCTATATAAGGCATAAGAGCCATTCAAGGTAACGAGTTAGTGAATGAGTTTATTATAAATGCGTATTAAGATGTAGCAAAAGATGCATATTATGGGAATATATAAGATATATATACAGAGTGTCCATAAAGTTCGTGTGCACTTTAAAAAATTTATAACTTTATTTGTATTTGCGATATAAATAATCTGTAAAAAATGTTATAAAATTTAATGTACCTAGTTTTAAGTATAGCTAAAATAACTAATGTGATTTCAGGCATTACTGTAAATCAGTTGGCAAATGTTTTCCGTGAACTGCAAAATCGTATTACTCGTTGTATTGCTAATGATGGAGAACATGTAGAAACTTAAATAAAATTTCAAAAAAACCTTAAAAAAACATAGATTTACTTCTTTCTAATCCTTTTTACAAATTTATATATATATTGTAATGAGACATGCTGAATCTAGTTATGAAAATACAACGGACTGCTGCCGATTCTGGTATAATTTCGTGTGACGCCTTCTGTAGCATATCCATCATGCGTAGCCCTCTTCGTTTGATGGTTCAAACGTTGAGATCTGTTGTAACCATCATCCGCTGGTTCTACTGCTCGGATCACATGGGTTGCTCGCGCTTAGTGAGGTATTTAGTGAGGTGAATTGAGGAATGACAAGATCGGAAGAAAGTTCACTGAGGCAAAAGTTTGACTTTGCATTTCGATTTTTGAGGATTTTAGGTGAAAATGAAGCATGAACTCGGAAGGAAGATTCTTATATATCTATCACTCTGGTCGCTTTCTTTTTGATTATTGTGTTGATGGCTAAATTTGCCGCCAACATCCAGGTTCAGGACAACAAGCTTCCAATTTCACGAAAACGTGCTCCCATCATCCATTCCCTGTCACCGATTCGCTTTGCAAGAATTAGCTGGAGGTGAAAGACAATCAGAGTAGAAGAAAATGACGATGGCCTGAATTTGTTTAAGGTGGGCCTCAACTTGCCAGGAAATGACCCACACACTTGATTTCATGACTTCCCTCTGTGGCACATATGGAATGTGGCATGCAGAATCTAGTTAGGAAACTGCAATGGACTGCCGCCGACTCTGGTATAATTTCGAGTAGCGCCTTCTGTAGCATATCTATCATGCGTAGCACTCTCTGTTCGATGGTTCTAACGTTGAGATCTGTTGTAACCATCATCCGCTTGTTCTACTGCTCGGAACACTTGTGTTGCTCGCGCTTAGTGAGGAGAATTGAGGAAGGACAATACGGGAAGAAAGTTCACTGAGGCAAAAGTTTGACTTTGCCTTTCGATTTTTGAGGAGTTTAGATGGAGGTGAAGCAAGAACTCGAAAGGGAGTTTCACAGATGAAAAGTACGTGAAAAGAAACTGTTAAAATAGAAGAGACGGTTGCATCTAGCTAGTTTAAAGAGACCTAGTTGCCAATCGAGTAGCCCACTTAAATTCATGTAGTTGAGGCTCCGTGGGTGGGGGGATTTTCAGACCAATTGGAAATAGTTGTAGTAAAATGAGGATGAACCTCACTGCGGTTAGATACATGACTGACAAGGCAGATTTTTTTCCTGCAGTAGGTTACCATTTCTTTCTGCGGTAGGCCAGTTGCCATCCAAGGCAATCGAATCACGTCTACCCTGCTATTTATCCATTCTCTGTCGCTGTTTGGCTCTGCAAGTGTTAGCTGAAGGTGAAAGAAATTCGCAGTAGAAGAAAGTACCAATGGTGAGAATTTATTCAAGGTGGACCGCAACTTGCCAGGAAGTCACCCACACACTTGATTCCATGACCTTTCTCTGCGGCACATATGAAATGTGACACGCAGAATCTATTTATTAAACTGCAACCGACTGCCACTAATTCTGTTATAATTTCGAATGACGCCTTCTATAGCATATCCTCCATGCGTAGCCCTCTTCGTTCGTAGCCCGCTTAAATTCATGTAGTTGAGTCTCCGAAAAGGGTGGAGAGCTCATAACAGTTGAAAATAGTTGTAGAAAGAGAGGATGAACCTCACCTCGGTTAGAATGTGATTGAAGTTGAGATGCTTAAGTCAGGGTCGAACACATTACATGCCGATCTGTAAATTTTAACCAAGAATTTCTTCTTTGCTTTATGATGACGTCGTTGTTGACTAAATTCTCCACCAACGTGCAGGTTCATGACTAGAAGCTTCCAGTTTCAACAATAAATATGGAATGAAGACATGTAGAATCCAGTAATGAAAATGCAACGGACTGCCACCGACTCGGGGATAATTTCAAGTGGCGCCTTCTGTAGCATGTCCGTCATGCGTAGCCCTCTTCAGCTACTGGTTTCACCGTTGAAATCTGTTGTAATCGTCCCCAGCTTGTTGCACCGTTAGGGTCTATGTGGTTGATCACGTTTAGACTGTTTGGTTTCTAAAATAATAATAATAAAGTGATAATAATAATAATAATAATAATAATAATAATAATAATAATATTAATTTGGTACATTAGAATATGAAATATTTACTCCGACATTCTTTGTAAAAGATATATATGTGTGCATGCGTGTGCGTTTCTATGTACATACCTCTGATGGTCGCTCCTTGTAGAGATGGGGTTACGTGGTCCAATGACTGCGAGGGACGCTGTTGAAAGTTTGAAAACGAGTAACCAGATTATGCAGGACCAACCGCAAAGACCGCAACGGCGGAACAAGGAGATGATATATATATATATATATATCGATTCCAGTCTATTTGTCACTATCTGTATCATTCTGGTCATATCTATCTATCTATCTATCTATCTATCTATCTATCTATCTATCTGTATCATTCTATCCATATCATCTATCTATCTATCTATCTGATTCAGTTCATTATCTATCTATCTATCTATATATCTAGCTGTATCATTATGGTCATATCTATATCGATATATCTGTATCATTGTTTATATCTATCTATCTCAGTCTGTTCAATATCTATCACAGTCTTTTAATTTATCTATCTATCTATCCATCTATCTATCGATAGATCAATCAATCTGTATCATTCTATTCATATCTATCTATCGATCGATCTGTATCCTTCCGTTCATATCTATCTATCTATCTATCTATCTATCTATCTATCTATCTATTCTTTTTTCTTCTTCTTTCTATATCCATTCTTCTTTTCTTCCTCTTTATCTATCTATATATCTATATCTGTATCATTCTGTTCATATCTATCTATGACAGTAGAACTATGACAGTATACCGATCTATGACAGTAGATCGTAGATATATCTATGTCTATGCTGTTATAAGATTGGAAACCCCTAAGAATACTCGGCTAATACATTACGAATGATGTGTGTCAATGCTTCAAGTATATGTATTTCAAGAAATATCTATCTATCGATCTATCTATCTGTTTATCTATGTATATTTTTTCGATGACTGTTTCAGTTCTACAAGCATTTAGCAAAAAGGAACGCGATGGATCCTTTATCCACAACGGGACAAACAACCCCTTTAATTAAATATATGATAGATGATAAATATACCATTTATCATAACAGGTGATGAAAAATGGGTTAAAATCTACAACCGACCGAAAGTCTGAGTTCCATGAAAGAAAACAACGTGCGTTTGGTGGCATCGTCGGGGCATTATTTGTTTCACGATCAGGAGACCCGTAACCGAAGATGGTCGAAAGTGGCACCACATATCCTACAACCGCAAAAGGCATGTTGTTTCTTGAGAAAGATAACCATAGACCTTAGTTACAGTTTCTGGGATATATAGATAAATAAATATCGCGACAGATAGATAGATAGATAGATAGATAGATAGATAGATAGATAGATAGATGCGACTAGACTGAGATATTTATAAAGAGAGATCACAGTCTTTTCTTCATCTGTGACTAGCCTCTGTATCGTCCTTAGGATATTTGCAATAAATATGAACAGAATAATACAAATAGATATGAAGAGAATGAGACAGACAGTCAGACAGACAGGCAGACAGACAGATTTTGATAGATAGATAGATAGATAGATAGATAGATAGATAGATAGATAGATAGATAGATAGATATGAACAGAATGAGATAGATAGATAGATAGATAGATAGATAGATAGATAGATAGATAGATAGATAGATAGATAGATAGATAGATAGATAGATAGATAGAGATAGATAGATAGATAGATAGATAGATAGATAGATAGATAGATAGATAGATAGATAGATAGATGAACAGAATAGATAGATAGATAGATAGATAGATAGATATGATAGATAGATAGATAGATAGATAGATAGATAGATAGATAGATAGATAGATAGATAGATAGATGATAGATAGATAGATAGATAGATAGATAGATAGATAGATGAGATAGATAGATAGATAGATAGATAGAT